AAGGAAGAATAAAATCCTTTGCGAACAAGCAAGTACTCAGAGATTTTGTCACCACCAGGCCTGCTTTACAAGAGCTCCTAAAAGAGGCACTACACATAGAAAGGATCAATCAGTACCAGCCATTCCAAAATCACACTGAATGCTAAAGAGCTTCAACATAATGAAGAATCTACAACAACTAACAGGCAAAACAGCCACTTAGAATCAAAATGGCAGTATCAAATTCACACATAACAATATTAACCCTAAATGTAAATGGACTAAATGCACCAATCAAAAGACACAGACTGGCAAATTGGATAAAAATCCAAAACCCATCAGTGTGCTGTATCCAGGAAACCCATCTCACATGCAAGGATACACAAAGGCTCAAAATAAAGGGATGGAGGAAGATTTACCAAGCTAATGGAAAGCAAAAAAAAGCAGGAGTTGCAATTCTCATCTCTGATAAAATAGACTTTAAAGCAACAAAGATCAAAAGAGACAAAGAAGGCCATTACATAATGGTAAAAGGATCGATACAACAAGAAGAGCTAACGATCCTAAACATATATGGACCCAACACAGGAGCACCCAGATACATAAGGCAAGTTCTTAATGACTTACAGAAGGACTTAGACTCCCACACAATAATAGTGGGAGACTTTAACACTCCACTGTCAATACTAGACAGATCAACCAGACAGAAAATCAACAAGGATACCCAGGGCTTGAACTCAGACCTGGAGCAAGCAAACCTGGTGGACATTTACAGAACTCTCCACCCCAAATCCACAGAATACACATTCTTCTCAGCACCACATCACACCTACTCTAAAATTGACCACATAATTGGAAGTAAAGCACTGCTCAACAAATGCAAAACAACTGAAATCATAACAAACAGCCTCTCAGACCATAGTGCAATCAAGTTAGAACTCAGAATTCAGAAACAGACCCAGAACCGCACAGCTTCATGGAAACTGAACAACTGGCTCTTGAATGTTGACTGGGTAAACAACGAAATGAAGGCAGAAATAAAGAAGTTCTTCGAAACCAATGAGAATGAAGACACAACGTGCCAGAACCTCTGGGACACATTTAAAGCAGTCTCTAGAGGAAAGTATATAGCAATAAGTGCCCATATGAGGAGAATGGAGAGATCCAAAATTGACACCCTATCGTCAAAATTGAAAGAGCTAGAGGAGCAAGATCAAAAAAACTCAAAACCCAGCAGAAGACAAGAAATTACTAAGATCAGAGCTGAGCTGAAGGAGATTGAGACACGAAAAACCCTTCAAAAAATCAATAAATCCAAGAGCTGGTTTTTTGAAAAGATCAACAAAATAGACAGACCACTAGCCAGATTGATTAAAAAGAAAAGAGAGAACAACCAAATAGATGCAATAAAAAATGATAAAGGGGAAATCACCACAGATTCCACAGAAATTCAAACCATCATCAGAGAATATTACAAACAACTCTATGCACATAAACTAGTAAACCTGGAAGAAATGGATAAATTCCTGGACTCCTGTGTCCTCCCAAGCCTAAACCAGGAGGAAGCTGGAACTATGAATAGACCAATAACAAGGTCTGAAGTTGAGGCAGCAATTAAGAGCCTACCTCACAAAAAAAGCCCAGGTCCAGATGGGTTCACAGCCGAATTCTACCAGACACACAAGGAGGAGCTGGTACCATTCCTTCTAAAACTATTTCAAACAATCCAAAAAGAGGGAATCCTTCCCAAATCATTTTATGAGACCAACATCATCCTGATACCAAAACCCGGCAGAGACCCAACGAGAAAAGAAAACTTCAGGCCAATATCCATGATGAACATAGATGCAAAAATCTTCAATAAAATATTGGCAAGCCGATTGCAACAGCAAATCAAAAAACTTATTCATCATGATCAAGTAGGATTCATCCCAGGGATGCAAGGCTGGTTCAACATACGCAAGTCTATCAACGTAATTCACCACATAAACAGAACCAAAAATAAAAACCACATGATTATCTCAATTGACGCAGAGAAGGCATTTGACAAAATTCAACAGCCCTTTATGCTAAAAACCCTCAATAAACTCGGTATCGATGGAACGTATCTCAAAGTAATAAAAGCTATTTATCACAAACCAACAGCCAATATCATACTGAATGGGCAAAAACTGGAAGCATTCCCTTTGAAATCTGGTACTAGACAAGGATGCCCTCTCTCACCACTCCTATTCAATATAGTACTGGAAGTTCTAGCCAGAGCAATCAGGCAAGAAAAAGAAATAAAGGGTATTCAAATAGGAAAGGTGGAAGCCAAATTGTCTCTATTTGCAGACGACATGATAGTATACCTAGAAGACCCCATCGCCTCAGCCCAAAAACTCCTGAAACTGATAAACAACTTCAGCAAAGTCTCAGGATATAAAATCAATGTGCAAAAATCACAAGCATTCGTCTACACCAATAACAGACTTAAAGAAAGCCAAATCAAGAGCGAACTGCCATTCGCAATTGCTACAAAAAGAATAAAATACCTTGGAATACAACTCACAAGGAACGTAAGGGACCTCTTCAAGGAGAACTACAAACCACTGCTCAACGAAATCAGAGAGGACACAAACAGATGGAGAAACATTCCATGTTCATGGTTAGGAAGAATTAATATCGTGAAAATGGCTATACTGCCCAAAGTAATTTACAGAATCAACGCTATCCCCATCAAGCTACCATTGACTTTCTTCACAGAACTGGAAAAAACCACCATGAACTTCATATGGAACCAAAAGAGAGCCCGCATAGCCAAGTCAATTCTAAGCAAAAAGAACACAGCGGGGGGCATCACACTACCGGATTTCGAACTATACTACAAGGCTACAGTAATCAAAACAGCATGGTACTGGTACCAAAACAGAGATATAGACCAATGGAACAAAACAGAGGCACCGGAGGCAACACAACATACATACAACTATACAATCTTTGATAAACCTGACAAAAATAAGCAATGGGGCAAGGATTCCATGTTTAACAAATGGTGTTGGGAAAACTGGCTAGCCATGTGCAGAAAGCAGAAACTGGACCCCTTCCTGACACCTTACACTAAAATTAACTCCAGATGGATTAAAGACTTAAACATAAGACCTGGCACCATAAAAACCCTAGAAGGAAATCTAGGCAAAACTATCCAGGACATAGGAGTAGGCAAGGACTTCATGAACAAAACACCAAGAGCATTGGCAACAAAAGCCAAAATAGACAAATGGGACCTAATGAAACTCCACAGCTTCTGCACGGCAAAAGAAACAGTCACTAGAGTGGATCGGCAACCAACAGAATGGGAAAAAATTTTCGCAGTCTACCCATCTGACAAAGGGCTGATATCCAGAATTTACAAACAACTCAAGCAGATTTACAGGAAAAAAACAAACAAGCCCATTCAAAAGTGGGCAAAGGATATGAACAGATACTTTACGAAAGAAGACATATATGAGGCCAACAATCATATGAAAAAATGCTCATCGTCACTGGTCATCAGAGAGATGCAAATCAAAACCACATTGAGATACCATCTCACGCCAGTTAGAATGGCGATCATTAAAAAATCTGGAGACAACAGATGCTGGAGAGGATGTGGAGAAAAAGGAACACTTTTACACTGTTGGTGGGAGTGTAAATTAGTTCAACCATTGTGGAAGACAGTGTGGCGATTCCTCAAGGCCTTAGAAATAGAAATTCCATTTGACCCAGCAATCCCATTACTGGGTATATATCCAAAAGACTATAAATCGTTCTACTATAAGGACACATGTACACGAATGTTCATTGCAGCACTGTTTACAATAGCAAAGACCTGGAATCAACCCAAATGCCCACTGATAATAGACTGGATTGGAAAAATGTGGCACATATACACCATGGAATATTATGCAGCAATCAGAAATGATGAGTTCGTGTCGTTTGTAGGGACATGGATGAATCTGGAGAACATCATCCTCAGCAAACTGACACAGGAACAGAAAATGAAACACCGCATATTCTCACTCATAGGTGGGTGATGAAAAATGAGAACACATGGACACAGAAAGGGGAGTACTAAACACTGGGGTCTATTGGGGGGAAAAGGGGAGAGCCAGTGGGAGGGGGAGGTGGGGAGGGATAGCCTGGGGAGAAATGCCAAATGTGGGTGAAGGGGAGAAGAAAAGCAAAGCACACTGCCATGTGTGTACCTACGCAACTGTCTTGCATGCTCTGCTCATGTACCCCAAAAATTATAATCCAATAAAAAATTAAAAAAAAAAAAAAAAAAAAAAAAAAGACTTTCAGTCTCTTCCCATTAAATATAAAGCTAGCTATGTATTTGTCACAAATGGCTTTTATTGTATTGAGGTCCTATACCCATTTTTTAAAAAGTATTTTTCTTGAAGCTGTTGAATTTTATCAAATGCTTTTTTTGGTATCTATTGAAAGTATCCTGTTTTTTGTCATTCATTCTACTGATGTGATATATCACATGTATTTATTTGTGTATGTTGAACCATCTTTGCATCCCTTGGATGACTTTCACTTGACCAAATAGAATTCTTCCTTGTTGTTTGACCTTTAGCAAATTACATACTACATTGTACTTTAGTTTCTTCATCTGTAAAATGTCCTTTAATGGATATATCTACTTCATAAGGTTGTTATGAGGTTTCAAATAGTTGTACAGTCATGTGCCACATAATGACATTTTCATCAATGTCTAACCATATACATGACAGTGGTCCATAAAATTGAAATAGAGATGAGAAATTACTATTGCTTAGTGACATTATAGCTGTCACTACATTATTCAGTACAGTAAATGTTGCCCAGGTTTTCAGGCTAGGAGCAACAGACTATATCATATAGCCTCAGTGTAGTAGGCTATACCATGTAGGTTTATGTAAATGCATTCTATGATATTCCCACAGCAACAAAATTGCCTAAGGATGCATCTCTCAGAAAGTATCCCCATCATTAAGTGATACATAGCTGTATATGTAGCATGTTTAGAGAACTGCCTGCCATATACTAGGTGCCCTTTGTTATCAGCCATTAATAATTAAAATTCATCTTATTATTAAACATATTAGTTTTTCTGATTATACTCTTTGATCAGAAATGACTTACCAGCCACATTACAGACTCAGGATTCCTCATAAGTCACAGTCTTCTAAGCAGTCTCAACTATGAATTTGTTGCTTCTCTTTATTCTTATTATAATATCAATAGGTAAAAACTCTGAATATTTCTTTCAGTCATATTTTCCTCTTGAGTTTCTTATTTGACACTTACTGTGGAGAGAAAGAAGAGTTCAATGGAAATAGAAAGGAAATGTCCAGAATTCACTCTTTATTTAACTAAAATCTGTAGATATATTCTAGTTTATAACAGAATAAAACTGTTAAACTATGGAATGGGAATAAACCTTCCTTAAAGTAGACATATTCAGATTGGGGTTCATAAATCTCAGCATATACTGAGTTACCCTCATATAGTATAGTCTAGCCCTCCTTAATAGTTCTATTTTTTGAACAGTATCTCCAGAACTTGTTTGTTTATCTTTGTAGTCTGCTCACCATACTCTTGATTTGATTGGGACAATCTGTGCTTGCATCTATTGTCCTGTTGTGATTAAAAGATACTCTTTTCTCTCTCAAAACTGTTTGAGTTTGGACTATATTTATTTCGTCACTCTAGTCAAAGGAAAATCTTCAGATCGTTAACTTCCAACTCACTCCAAACTGACCAGGAAGGAGCACTATGATTTTATAATATTTCTCCTTGCTGCTATTTTTTAATATTTACTGTTCTGTCCTTTGTAACTTTTGAGCCAATGCCATTTTCCTATCTCACCACAATCTCATCTGCCTACTTTCTGAGAGGTCTTTCCTTTTAGCCACCAAGGAGTAACACTGGCATTGAAAATGTAGTTTTACAGATATGTACATATTTTAAAATACATTAATTAATGTTGGCAATATTTTACCCTAATGTGGTTAGAGTTTAATTCTTGCAATGTTCTTGAAATAGTCTTGCAAATACTTTTTTTCTTAGAAACCAGTTACTGAGGTTTGATGCTATCACTTAACAATTTTTATATTAAGAGTTATATATCTACAAATTTTGAGATTTAGAATTGTTGTTATTTGATATAGTTGGCTTACTTGCTATATGTTTGAAAATTAATTTATAATGATGATACAAATTATATTTTAAGCTGAATTTGTTTATTCATTTTATGATGTTGTCACAGAAAATATTAGAAATATGAAATCTGTACCTGAGAAACAGTAGTACTCAGGAATAATTAAAACAAGGCACTGGTGGCAGTGTGAAACAGGTCAGAAGTTTTGTTAGTAAAGAATCTACATTTTATAATAATTATTTTTAATATTTAAAAATAAGTGGAGAATATTATCTAAAATTGACAAAATGCCACTGAAATAGATAGAAAACTTTAACACTACTGAATTAAAAAAAGAAAAAACTAGTACTAATAACACAAAATGGGAAATACACTTGATTTTGTAGCCAGTAATTCTGCTGAGCACTTGCAGAATTGGTTTTAAGAGAAAAATTATGCCTGAAAACCAAGTAGCTCCTCCAGAGGCAGACAAGCATCCTCATCAAGCAGCTCCCTGAGTTCTGAGCCAGGAAAATCCATGAAGATGGGAAAAAAACCCAGCAAAAAAAAGATGAAACCATGAAAGACCAGAATGCCTCCTCTCCTTCAAGCAATCACAACTCCTCATCAACATGGGAACGCAACATGACCAAGAAAGAGTGCGACAAATTGACAGAAAACAACATGATCAAGAAAGAGTGCAACAAATTGACAGAAACAGGATTCAGAAGGTGGTTAATAACAAAATTTTCTGAGCTGAAAGAACACATTCTAACCCAATGCAAAGAAACTAAAAACCTTGAAAAAAGGTTAGATGAAATGCTAACTAGAATAACCAGCTTAGAGAATAACATAAATGACTTGATGGAGCTGAAAAACATAGCATAAAAACTAGGTGAAACAAACACAAGTTTTAATAGCTGAATCAATCAAGCAGAAGAAAGGATATCAGAGATTGAATATCAACTTAATGATATAAAAAGAGAAGGCAAGACAAGAGAAGAAAGAGTGAAAAGAAATAAACAAAGCCTCCAAGAAATAAGGGATTATGTGATAAGACCTAATCTACACTTGACCTGTATACCTGAATATGACAGGGAGAATGAATCCATGCTTGAAAACATGCTCCAGGAGAACATCCCTAGCTTAGCAAGGCAGTCCAACATTCAATTCCAAGAAACACAGATAACTGCACAAAAATATTCCTCAAGAAGAGCAACCCCAAGGCACCTAATTGTCAGATTCACCGGGGTTGAAATGAAGGGAAAAATACTAAGGGCAGCCAGAGAGAAAGGACAGGTCACCCACAGAGGGAAGCCAATCAGATGCACAGTGGATATCTCAGAGAACTCTACAAGCCAGAAGAGAGTGGGGGCAATATTCAACATGCTTAAAGAAAAGAACTTTCAACCCAGAATCCCATATCCAGCCAAACTAAGCTTCATAAGTGAAGAAGAAATAAAATCCTTTACGGACAAGCAATTGCTGAGAGATTTGTCACTACCACAGACATGCCTTATAAGAGCTCCTGAAAGAAACACTAAACACGGAAAGGAACAAGTACCAGCTACTGCAAAAGCACACCAAATGGCAGAGACCAAAAATGTAATAAAGAAACTGAGTCAACTAATGGGCGAGAAAACCAGCCAGTAAAAAAATGGCAGGATCAAATTCACATATAACAATATTAACATTGAATGTAAATGGCCTACATGCCCCAATCCAAAGACACAAACTGGCAAAGTGAATAAAAAGTCAAGACCCATCAGTGTGCTGTATTCAGGAGACCCATCTCACGTACAAAGACACACATAGACTCAAAATAAAGGGATAGAAGAAGATTTACCAAGCAAATGGAGAACAAAAAATAGCAGGGTTGGCAATCCTAGTCTCAGATAAAATGGACTTCAAAACAACAAAGATCAAAAGAGACAAAGAAGGACATTACATAATGGTAAAAGGATCAATCCAACAAGAAGAACTAACTATCCTAAATATATATGCACCCAACACATAGGCACCCAGATACATAAAGCAAGTTCTTAACAACCTAAAAGGAGATTTAGACTCCCATACAATAATAGTGGGAGACTTCAACACTCCACTGCCAATATTAGACAGATCAAGAAGACAGAAAATTAACAAGGACATCCAGCACTTGAATGCAGAGCTGGACCAAGTGGACCTAATAGACATATACAGAATGCTCCATCCCAAATCCACAGAATATACATTCTTCTCAGCACCACATTGCACTTACTCTAAAATTGATCACATAATTGGAAGCAAATCACTCCTCAGCAAATGCAGAAGAACAGAGATCATAACAAATAGACTCTCAGACACAGCACAACCAAATTAGAACTCAGGATTAAGAAACTCCCTTAAATCCACACAACTACTAGGAAACTGAACAACTTGCTTCTGAGTGTTGAGCAGGTAAACAATGAAATGAAGGCAGAAATAAAGATGTTCTTTGAAACCAATCAGAATGAAGACAGAACTTACCAGAATCTTTGGGACACCTTTAAAGCCGTGTCAAGAGGGAAATTTATAGCAATAAACACCCACCTGAGAACCAAGGAAAGGTCTAAAATCAACACCCCATCATCAAAATTGAAAGAGCTAGAGGAGCAAGATCAAAAAAACTCAAAAGCTAGCAGCAGACAAGAAATAACTAATATCAGAGCAGAAATGAAGGAGATACAGAAAGAAAAAAACCATTCAAAAAATCAATAAATGCAGGAGCTGGTTTTTTGAAAAGATCAACAAAATAGACCATTATCCAGACTAATAAAAAGGAAAAGAGAGAAGAATCGAATAGATGTAATAAAAAATGATAAAGGGGATATTACCACTGATTCCACAGAAATACAAACTACAATCAGAGATTACTACAAATATCTCTATGCATGGAAACCAGTAAACCTGGAAGAAATGGATAATTCCTGGACATATGCACTCTACCAAGACTAAACCAGGAAGAAATTGAAACTCTGAATAGACCAATAACAAGGGCTGAAGTTGTGGCAACAATAAATAGCCTACCAACCATAAAAAGTACAGGTCCTGACGGGTTCACAGCCGAATTCTACCAGATGTACAAAGAGGAGCTGATGCCATTCCTTCTGAAACTATACCAAACAATGCAAAAAGAGGGAATCCTCCCTAACTCATTCTATGAGACCGACATCATCCTGACACCAAAACCAGGCAGAGACTCAACTAAAAAAACTGCAAGCCACTATCCATGATGAACATTAATGCAAAAATCTTCAGTAAAATACTGGCAAACTGAATGCAATAGCACATAAACTTAATCATCACAATCAAGTAGGCTTCATCCCAGGGATACAAGGTTGGTTCAATAGATGCAAGTCCATAAACAGAATCCATCACATAAAAAGAATGAAAACAAAAACCACATAATTATCTCAATAGATGCAGAGAAGGCCTTCGACAAAATTCAACAGCCCTTCATGCTAAAAACTCTCAATAAACTAGGTATCAATGGACCATATCATAAAATAATAAAAACTATTTATGACAAACCTACAGCCAATATCATATTGAATGGGCAAAAGCTGGAAGCATTCCCTTTGAAATGAGGCATGAGACAAGGATGCCTTCTCTCACCACTCCTATTCAATATAATATTGGAAGTTCTAGCCAGAGCAATCAGGCAAGAAAAATAAATAAAGCATATTCGATTAGGAAAGAAGGAAGTCAAACTGTCTCTATTTGCAGATGACATGATTGTATATTTAGAAGACCCCATCATCTCAGCCCAAAATCTCCTCAAACTGAAAAGCAATTTCAGCAAAGTCTCAAGATACAAAATCAATGTGCAAAAATCACAAGCATTTCTATACACAAATAACAGACAAACACAGCCAAATCAAGAGCGAACTCCCATTCACAATTGCTACCCAAAGAATAAAATACCTACGAATAAAACTAATAAAGGATATAAAAGACCTCTTCAAGGAGAACTACAAACCACTGCTCAAGGAAATAAGAGAGGACACAAACAGATGGAAAAACATTCCATGCTCATGGTTGGGAAGAATCAACATTGTGAAAATGGCCATACTGCCCAAAGTAATTTATAGATTCAAAGCTATCCCCATCAAGCTACCAATGACCTTCTTTACAGAACTGGAAAAA